ACCCATAGCGACCCTGTACAGGGTTTCCGAGGGTGTAAATCTTTACGGGAGTAGAAAGCCTCATCTTTCTCCCGCGGAGCAGCTGGTAGTTCGAACCGCTGACCTTAAGGTTCGCAGCCCAATTCGTAAACACTACGCTATATATATATATCTTCCATCCTGGTGTGGCACTGTAGCACTGTAGGATAAGCACTGGACAAAAGGGTTGTTTGAATCAGAATTTTGATAGTTCGAACTCACCAGTCACTCCTCAGAAATCCCTATGGGGTCACTATGAGTCGGAACCAACTTGACACACTTAACAACAACAATGGAATTTTAATTGAGTTCAAAATAAGGAAAACCATGTTCTTTTTCTGTCTGCATTTTGCATAAGGTTGGAGTTCTCAGTATCTCTGGAATGAGGTTCATATTATATTTGTAATCAGAAGACTGGTAGGTCAGGTGAAGTGATAAGCCTCTGTACTATAACTTACAAATTAGGTCTCAGATACTTGTATAGTCTTCGGGGTAATGGATGATACCACTTAAGTTATTTGAAAATGAATACAATTTATGCCCATATGGTCATATAAGTATATGAAGGATTTTCAGTATCTAGAAAATTTGATCTTTTTTCTCTTAAATTGTCTAATTTTAAAAATCACTACTAAAAACAGTCAGGAAATTGTTTTGTTTTGTTTTTTTAATTAACTTTTTTTCAGTTTGGTGCTCTCCATTTAATTATTCTGGGTCTCCATTTTCCATTGTTAAGACTTGGCTCTATTAATCTGCCTGTAGGCTCTTTATATATGATTTTCAGGATGAGTAAGGGTGCCATTCAAATAATAAATCTTATCTTAGACTTTTCCCTCCTCCCTTTTATTGTCACAAAGTGCTTTAGTCATTAGAACCCAAGTGTTGAATTTCAAAATATGACTTCCTAAATTACAGATCTTACCCATATCAAACTTTATAAGCAAATATCTGGTACAGAGATTTTTCTCTGGAGGAGTCTGAATCCATCAGATGTACCACTCACAAATTTTAGATTTCCTTTCCACATTCAGATTAATTTAAAAACAAAAACAAAAAAAGATGGGTTTTGGGAAATTTGTACAAAGAGTAATGCTCAAGGATAGAGCCATTTCTGTTATGTAATGTTTTAGTGTTCATCTCTTGTCAATTACATGGTTTACATAGTTACAGCTAGCTAGTCCTCCTATAAATATGTAACTTCCAGAATTATTTCCAATAATCAATTTCGATTGTTACATATATCTTGCAAAAATAATTTTAGATAGTAACTCCTGGTACCTTTCTGCTAGTAGATACTATGAGTATCCTTATGAGAAAGAATAATTGTGGTCATGCATTGCTTAGGACATCCCTTAAACAGAGAAATAGTT